GCAGCATCAATCTACGTGGCATGGATGGCTTCAATTCCCCCTATGAAACAGACCTTGGAGGATGATGCCAAACAAGTGGCATTAACGACCATTAACGACGATGATGTGGCGACCAGGGCTGCCAAGGTTGCGGCATGCATCCCATCTGTTTTAGAGAGCGTTGTCGTAGAGTCCCGCGAAAAAGCGCAATGGATTCCCATGCTCGCGGACCAGATCCAGAAGTTGCAGGCAGACAGCAGTCACGACACAGCGTTACCCCTGTCCAGGGTTGCTGCAAGAGTGCTCGTGTATTGGTGCCAGTGCAAGGCATCATCGGCTCGCTTTGAGCATTCTCTGAACATCATCCGTACGACGAGGCCTAGTAGGAAGCGCAAGGGAGTAGCGGGTCAAGTGTAGAATAATATGTTTTAGTTTTGAATCGTGAATTTTGCTGTTACAACTGTGACGATTTTCTTGGTTTTGCATTCCATCTACATGCATTCCAAAAGGCAACACTACGTAGAACACCACTTTAGAGAACGTTTAACACCCGTCCGAAAGACGGGTTTTGGCATTATTTCTACACTAGGATGCCACATCATCTCAGCCCTTCTCACTAATCGGAAACGTCAGAAGAGTCATCTGGAGTGAAAACCTCGCTAGTCTCGGCGGCATCACCGAGAGGCGTTGCATAACAAACTTGGTACACCCCACCAGAAAGTAGTCCGTTGATGAATCGCGATATGGTCTCACGCATGCCGTGGAAATCACGAGGCGCATTTGTTGGATACAATTCATTCATAGCGCGTCGGGCAGAAAACCCATCCATGTCTGCCAGCAGGTCTTGCAGAAAACGTACACACCAAACCCCTGCAAGGGGGTCTTTCAAATCCTCTGCGAGAAGATCGTCGTTGAAGTCAGTGTTGCGCAGATTTAGCAAGCAGGCTTCCACGATTTCACTAGAAATCGGAATCTCATTGGCCCGTAGGTCACGAAGCACCTGGTTCTCGAACCATCAACAGCATCCGGGTTCGAATCTACGTAAATCGGCGAATTACTGCACGCAAAGAGCCGAGATACGAACTGCAAGCCACTCACCTTTTCATCCAACTCGACATGCAGCCAAATCCAGACCAGCCTTCATTGTTGCCTCTGCGTTTGGGGTCAAGAAAGAAGCTGCGAGATCGCGTTACTAAGCCATATGCAAGTGCGAAATCGCCCGGACGAGTAACGACGAACAACGCACACCCCGGCGTCTCGAATCCGAAACACCAGCTGCATAGTGAATCATAAGGCATGTTAGCATTGGTGGTCAATTTACTCGTTCCAGATTGGAACCACCACAACGTCAAAATCCTGGAGGTTGAGTGCGGGCTCGTTTCCGTGACCCCTTGACGAAGCTATCTGTGTCATTTCTTTGTCGGTAATAATACGAACTCTCACGTCAGGCTTACTCTCACACGCCAATCTGCAGAATCCAACACATGAGATCAGCCACGGCAACTTTGCTGAATCTGCCGCACATTCATCTACTTACAGAAGACCCATGTGTAGAGTAATATTGTTGAGCTCGTGCGTATCATCCAGCAGACGATTCAAATCTCTCTCGTCGAGGACGTGGTGGCCACCGGTGTGAGCCACTACTTTCACCTGCCGTGAAGCCATGATTTGAATGGTTTTGTTTTTTAAAATGTGCACATTTAAACCCTGTCATGGTGTGTTTCCGCCAGCCTAACATTGTAGGCGGCACGATCGAGAGACGATGTGTGTGTTCACCATGGGCGGGAGGTTCCGAACAGCCTGCTAATACACGGAACACCTGAAGGATTGTGCATGTAGCGTGCACGAAATTAACGAAAATGCTTTTACGGGTTTTGGTATTGTCGGTTGTAATTTTCGTGCCTCGAAAGCACCAGTTTGCCAACTGTAATTCAACAAACGGAGATACAAATTGATTCCGATTATCCACTTAACACCAAATATATCACAAACAACCAATCCGCCAACGACTACTCGCACAAATCGGCCGCTAACCTCTGTGACGAACACTGAAACTAAGAGAACTACCAACCTGTGCGGCTAGTTGAGCTGCTGCGTGACCGCATTGACACCAGTAAACAATGACCGAAGCAACTACACTGGCTTGAGCCTTCACATCTTTGTCGAGAGCCTGTGGATCTTGTATTTCAGATATGGCTCGTCCAAGAACTGTGATCCATCTAGACTTGGTATGTTCGACACCAGCCATATTCTGCATAGCAACAATGCCAATCCGCGCAGACTCTGCAGCACGGTTGGCAATGACGATGTCATCTATGACGCTGCGAACTGCTGCTCGGGCTCCTGCTGTATGTGAAGGAACGCCCATTGACACAGCGTGCAGCGTGTAGAGGGCAGATGTCACTCCAGCAGCGAACACGACTGGAGAACTTAAATGCGGACGCGGCACTCCGCGACCCTGGACGTCCAGAACGGTGAGTCCGGCGCCGACGCAGAGGGCGGTCATCATAGCGTCCCATGCCATCAAGCGATGTTCGGTCCTTACCACGAAGTCGCGGAAACTAGCGTGGGGAAGGGAGACACGGATACCATACCAATCATAAGTTTTCAAATCTGCGCACTCTAAACCGCGGAAAAAATGGTGAACAAATGTGCTGTAACCATTCACTTTCGAAACCTGTCAAGATGGAGCTCGTTCAAAACACTCCACATCCCCGTCGGCATACGCTCCACGTACATCAGATCGTTCAACCAGGCATTGACATCCTCCAGAATCATGCCGTACAAATGCAGGTCTGTATCTGGAAAGTATGCCTTCCAGCAAATGGCGACCGTGAAGTTGCGATCATGTTCATCGTTGTGGATCCCCATGTTCCGCTTTCTACCTCCCACGAACTGCTCTGAGCAGTAGAGATCGCCCCGCATGCCTCTTCTACGAGTGAAGCAACCTGTCGATGTGAATGGCCTGGCCACTCCACGAAGCTTGCCGAACGCGTTTAACTGAGCTGCCATAATCTTGGCAATATTGTTGAGTCACAACAAAACAATCACTCGGAGCTTGGAGGTTGATATGCACTGGTGTGTGGCAGTACTGGGTTTTGAAGGCCCCGGGTATCTATGGGCAACATTCATCGTGATCTCCGAATGGATGCATGCCACGCCTTCGGGCTCTCCGATTGGATCATGTCATCAGGTGTACACATATAATGTATACCATACATTCATTGTAACAACGGACTTCGTAACCACTCTGGTGTAACGCAGTAATGTGTCTCGCCAAATTTGAGTTATTCGCGACTTTAAGCAATGGGCGCGAGGTACACTGCATGGTTTCACATATTGCGCGTGGATGATCTGCTGTAGATGTAGATGTCGCTGCATACTCCAGCGAACAAGGGTGAAATTCCGTGCTTTGATCGAATTGGCTCAAAGCTGTCTTCGTTCTACACATATCATTTCTACACATATGGTTGATGAGAAGAGCAAGGGTGTCTAGCATGGTCTGATCCAGCATTCTGCACCTGCGCTATGCAACCAGATTGATATCAGTTCGGCATTCGTAGGGCCATGACCCATGCGACCCTCACCGAATCTGAAGGAACCGCCAACCTGAGCGGCAAATCTCGATGCGGCGTGAACGCATTCACACCAGCCAACAACAATTCTAGCGACGACAAAGGCTTGGTGTTTCACGTCAACATCCTCATTTGTCGGATCTTGAATCTCGAATATGGTTCGTCCAAGTAATGCAGTCCATGTCGGAGCGTTGTGTTGGACATCCGGGATGCACCGCATCAGACACATGGCAATCCGTGCCGACTTTGCTGCACGATTGGCTATCACGGTGTCATTGAGAATGCCGCATACTGCTATACTGGAGCGGCGAGTGTATGACAGCGCAGAATGGCCCAATGACGCCGCTGTTAGCATGTAGAGCGCAGCTGTTACGCCGGCTGCAAATAACTCTGGGGAGATAAATTGCGGATGGGGCACGCTGCGCCCCTCGGCGTCCAGCACAGTGCGCCCAGCTCCGACGCAGAGTGCTGTCACTATATCGTCTCCCGCCATCTGGCGCCATGCGGCTGAATTCGCCAAGGTCCTGAAGCTGAAGGGTCAAGAAGACAAGTCGCAAGCAACGGACACACCAAGGGCAGTTGTGTGATTTGCCGATCTTGTGCAAATTTGAGACATACAGCGAGTCTTGCGAAAGTTGCGAATGTTGTAGAACGAGATACACCTCCCTCACTTTTCGATTCTGTCGACCGGGTTTTCCGGTGATCCTGGAGACTACTACATCGGCAGAGCTCATGCGAAACTCCCTGTTGACAAGGAGTGGGAAGATCTGCAGAACTTGTTCAAAAAGCACATCTACCCGTGGCTCAAGGAGGAGCTGGCGAAGGTACGTCATCTACGTTGTCTTGTTTGTTTAGGGCGTCAAGTCTCTTGATCCTTAATATGTGGCATTTCGCAGGTCGAAGAGTACAACGACGGCAAAAAGTCACACGAGAAGAAGCTATCAGCCGAGCAGTTTTTGAAGGCCCTTCGAGACCATGGACGCGATGTTGTTGCTCAGGACCTTGCCATGTATTGGATCTTCTGCAAGAACCCCGAATGCAAGGAGAAGTTCACTGGCGAAGGGCGTGCATGCAACTGTACCCGCCATCCTTACGCCGAAATCTCGCCCCTCTGTCAGGAGCCCTTGTTCCAGAAATGGGCCAACATGGTTGCGAACATGGACGAAGAAGGTCGTCGACTTAGGAAGAATGTGGGCCAATCTGCAGCAGCGGTAAGTTATCACTTTCTGCGCGGATTGGTTGTGATTTCTCGAATCACGCATTTTGACACTGTTACAAATGGTGCAAGATGCTATCTACCGACTCAAAGGAACCCAGCAGAACACGAAGCTGTGACTCCTCAACCAGGAGCTCATGGAGAATGCGGGGACGCTGAAGGCGGAGGTGGGGCAGTTGAGGATGGAGAACACAAGTATCAAAGAGGAGAACGCGCGGCTCAGAGAGCAGATGGCTGCGTTGCAACGCGCGTTTTGCGGCGAAGAACGTCCGCCGTGTGCTGCAGCAAACGGAGGCACCGCTGGCGCAAAGGAGGATTGCAACGCGCAGGATGATGCAGAGACTCCTCAACAGAAGGAGCAGAGGCTGTTTTCCGAGGCTGTCGTCGGCCCCTGGCTCAAATGCCAGAAGATTTCGGAGGCGTGGAAGATTTGGGACAAGGGCCCCGCCTTGATGGGCGGGAGCTCCATTCGCGATCTGGCGAAGGGTTATGACTTTCTCGCAACCTTCTCCAAGTTTGGAGACCAGACAGTCGTGTTAAATATGCGTTCCAAGCGGTTGGGGCGGAGGAGGAATCAGATGCTCACCATCGACGGTCTGCGACCAGATGACTCCGAAGCCGCGACCGCATATGCTTTGGCTCTCGGTGACTGGTTGCTATCACAGTCATCGGAGAGCACCATTGGGGACGGGAATGTCGTCAGTGTCTTGCAAAAGAGAAAGCGTGAGGTTTCTGGAGATGACGGGATCACTGCGAACGAGGGTTCACGCAACAGGATTGTCTACCTTCTGGTGGAAGCAAAGGCGCGCGATGATGCATGGGCGCAATCGATCGTAGGTGCGGACGCATGGCCCAACATCAAGGAACGGGAGGCCGAGCAGATGGCGAAGAAACGAAAGAGGAATCACATCCCCCCTCCAGAGCCATATGTTGGGCATCGCTCGTGAGGTTTCGAAGCTTGTTGTGGTTGTAGAGGGGTTAGATGCTGTAGTCATGTAGAATTTCATGTAGTCCTGGTCGATTTTCCATAACTTCCCCATTTCTGTGGCACTAAGTATTAGACATTCCAGTCTCATAGATGTTTATATGTTTTTGAAAACGCAGATTAGTCATAGATGTACGAAAAAGGACATCCGCGGTGATGTTCTGCAGTCAAGAAATAGAATGTTGTGCGACATTGGACGTAGGCTCGTTGCGCTGCTAATGCACGGATGTAGCTGCGTGCTACGTGGGCTGTTCAGAAGCAATATTGGCGAGTCATAACGCATTGTTACAACCTTGCGGTAACAAGGCATGTTAACATTGGCGAAAAACATCGCGACCAATCGGAGACCGCGAAGGCATTACATGTGTTCCATTGGAGACCACGAATTGATGTCCCCTGAGCATCCCTTCAACACGACGGTTATTACTATATTATAGCATCCGCAACAGAGGTTGATTTCTTTATGGAATAGAGGTTTCACGCTTACGTAGATGGCGGCAAAGGTTAACGAGTTGGGGAAACAGAATGCGGTGCGGAGGCCATTTAGTGCATGTGGTTTTTTCACTAGACGCACAGCTTCTGGCGAAGTAATTTTTGGTTCGGTGCAGTTTGTAGGCGGTAGACGATGGAACATGGGGAACCACGAGGATGTACAGAGCCGCAATTTCACTGTCGCCATATGCTGGAAGGCGTACTTTCCAGATACGGACTTGCTTGCTTACGGTATGGCTCGCCAGGACGTCGATTCATGGAGAACCGCCTTGATGTACACGGAGCGTATGCCAACGGGGATGTGGTGTGTGTTGCACAAAAGGCACGCCCAAAAGGTATGACCTCCGCATCTCTCCCTGCTCCCAGCCTCCCAACTTCGCAATGAGGGCGTCAGGGCACCTGTCATCGCTGAGACCCTGCGCCCCGGACCTGCGGAAGATGTGGGTTACTTTGCTCGACGTCCACCCCGCCTTTTTCATCACCCAGCCGATCCAATTGTTGTGCGACTTGTATTCCTTCTGGTCCTGCTCTTGGGGGGATTTGTCGGTGTGCTTGTTGATCTGGAAAAAGAAGTGCTTCTTGAACCAGTCAGTGTTCTTGTCGAAATTCAGCGGTGGAATGAGTTTTCGCTTGTAACGGACCTCGGCAAGGTCGTACACGAAATGGTTCCACAGGAAGACCCCAGCGAAGCCGCACCGCTTGTAGTCGATGTGCCTGGTGACATACTGGTGTGACAAGCGGTTTGTGGGATTGTTCTTCGTTTGTCGAGACACGAACACCATGACTGGAAGGTCAAGGAACTCGTCTTGAAGAGTAGTGCTGCGAGTCTCGTGGACGTACATGTTCGCAAATCGCAAAGAGCGGATACTGCACCCTCAGCCCAGCATCTGATGCGCTAGCATGATCATGACTGCCACTGCCAGAACCCTCCACAAGCCCTCCGAAAGGAACTGCACGCTGGCCTTGAAGTAGGCTGTCCTGTGTTCAGGCAGAACCTTGTGAAACAGATCCCTGTACTGCGCTGCCGTGTACACGTCGTTCAGAGAACCGCGCGTCTGTTCGAACCCCTCGCTGCAACGAACAGAAACAAAGTTAGCTTCACGGAAACCCAAAGGAACCCAATAAAACAATCATCTACTACACTCACTCGATCTGCTTGTTGCTGACGTTGCGGAGCTTGATTCGTAGCAGACCCCTTGCCTCCCTCAACATGTCCGACACGCGAGAGGTAGAGTAGTTGAAAAGGTGTCCTTCGATTTCTCCAAGACAACTCATCGCGTTCATCTTCGCCTTCAGCATGGATGCTGTGCAAGCCTTCGGCACTTTCCCCGCATACATCTGACGACCTTCCCGCATCTTCTTCGCTTGGAGAACAAGTACTCCATGAAACGACAAAGCCGCCACAAAGTCAGCTTGGGCCCATGCAGATGGGATTCGTTCTTTGGGACGTCGTCCCAGGCGTGTCCCTTGTCGTTGCCCAGAAAGAACCCAATTTTGTCCGGCTTTTCGGGGTCCAGCCTCTCCTCTTCCGGAACATCGAGCAACTGAGCCATCAGCAAGAAAACCCATCTCTTGTAGTACCACCAGCAACCGTGGTAGCAATTGTTCGTTTGATCCTTCCTCCCAATGACATGCTTCCATGCTCGAGTGATAGCTTCCTTCTTCTCCCGTGTCATTGGAATTTCGGGACGGATACCAGGAACTGGCTGTTTTGGATCCCAGTCCAAGCACCGTCGCGTATCCGTCCCTCCCCCTTCACGTTCGACCTCGGCCGCTGGTGGGAAGTCAAAAGGGTCCGTCCGCTCGTCGTGCGGATTCGCACGTGGAACTCCAATTGTTGGACCCCTGCGCCCGCTGTCCGATGCTGGGTTGTTGTTAGGGGGGTTGCTCGGCTCGTCCTGCTGATGCTGCTGCCGAAAATCCGTTGTCTGCCCCCTTAACCCGCTGTCCGACGCCGGGATGTTGAAAGGGTTCCTGAGCTCGTCCTGCGGATTCTGCTGCCGAAAATTAGTTGTCCGACCCCTACACCCACTGTCTGATGCTGGCGACCCACTCGACTCAGACCTGCTTGCCTCATCTTCGCCAGAGAGCTCAACTCCTGCAGGTTCCGCTCCTTGGACTATGTCGCAGGGCGGCAGCTCATTTAGGTCCCAGACGTTTCTTGCCTCCACAGCCGTTTCACCTGGTTCCTCTGAAGCGACGTTTCTTGCCTCCATAGCCGTTTCAACTAGTTCCTCTGGAGCGTTGAAAAATTGCTCGTTCTCGATGTCATCCTCCTCCGCAGCTTGCCTTGCATCTGTGAAAATGTCCTCGTCGATATCTTCGACCTCGACTGGTACGAAGTGCGCGTCATGATAGGTGTCGCCCGTTAGACCGATGCCATCGGGTACGGTTTGCAGATCTGCGTCGTTCAGTTCTGCCGTTTCTTTGTCTGGTTCGGAAGCGTTTACCCAACCAGCTTCTTGACGCTGCTCCATTACAATACGTAGAATCAGAATGCAATGGTCGACATCGAAAATGCTAGACAGATTAAGCTATGCTAACTTGTCTAGAATAAACAAGCACCTATCGCTAGGTCAGGGACTCTACTGCTATATTTGCAAGGGAGCTCTAGTCTACCACTTCTCTAGACTAAGCCCGTCCCTAAAAAAAACATCGACGACTGCGATTCTGTAGACCACATATTGCATTCGTATCTAGGGATTACAGACATTCAGTATGTCAAACGATTTCCCAGCCGTACATCCACCTCTGAGTCCTAAACCTGTGAAAAATCTGCAGACGAGAATATCGATGTCAGATGCCGCACAATCAATGGGCGATGATGCATGTTGAACGGAAAGAGGACAGACGACAAGAGACGGAACAAACCATAACAATGAGCAACACTGCATGACATAGATCGAAATCGCCCATTCCCCACTCATCGCGTCGAGCAGAACAGCAATGGTCGCCCCTCTGCAGATTTGGTGGCTCCCGCCAGAATGCGATGTATCGATTGGATGCCAGCAGAGCGGTAGGACGCGCGATGGATGCAGAGCAGTGGTGTTGCAGAGGTCAGACTCTGACCTCGAAGGGCATTGGTCGAGTCAGGGCGGGAACATTGAGGACACACTTTCTATCCGTTACATTGATTTTTTCCCACCTGTTCTGAAAAGTGTTTAACAAAAACAAAAAACACTGCCCACAATCATCAACCTATAAAATATGACTCTCTAACTTCGTTATGTAGCGGTCAAGCGGGCGGGAAAGTGCGTCGATTGTGGATTGAAACGAGTGGACGGGAAAGTAGCACCCTGGAGTGATTTGCCTCCCAGCAGAAGCCGTGAATTGGTCTCGTTCGTATCTTTGCATCGGGCACTATCATTCCCCGAAACAGGTGTAGAGAATGAGCGGATTATCCATCTAGTTTGCACGACAATTATCAAGTCACTGTCCCGGAACGTGAGTCGCCCCATATCGGACCCATGATTCTGAGTCGTGCGACGTCGCGCAGACCGTTAGGTCGCAACCGGTCGGGCGACCGGGCAGCGTCATTAGCCGGCCTTAGTGGTAACATCGACGATGGTCGCGAATTCGCGACATCACAATTCAAAACTCCTAACATTCAAAACTCAGGCAGGACCGGAACGAAACGGGCAGTTGCAGCAGTGCACGAGGGGCGGTGGGGCGTGTCATACTCGGCGCGGCCTTGCGCCAGCTTTGCGCCAACTTTCAACTCGTCCGAACTCCCAGGACGAGACGAGCATGACGAGCCTTTTTCCACAGGCAAGTCCGGAGGACGAGGGTCCGGACCCTTTCATCATCCCTTAGAAATCTTCCAACTTGGCTCTGTTTCACTCACGCGTGACCATCGCTGCAGCTATGCGGTGTCAGTGAAGGAAACTTTGTGCTGTCGCTTTGCCTCACGTGGTGCGGTCAGGGTCCTCACTAGGTTTTGAACCCCCCTGATGCATCAGACGGGCGCTGCATCAGAAATTTTAATTTTGAGTGTCTGACGAATCAAAAACTTCTAAAAACCTTGTCTGACCAATAAAGACAAAGTAACTAGTGTGCTGGTGCACGTGGGAAAAAACGTGAGTCGAACTTACCTGTCAAATTCATTCGAAGGGTACACAATACTCGCTTTGTTGACATTCGCTCCATCACACAACATTCGCCCCGTCACACCACATTCGGCCCGTCACCTCACACCACATTCGCCCGACCTATCACAAGAGGGATTCGGACTGCTTATACATTTCTGACATTCGCCCTGACACAATGAGTCAAGTTGACTCAGTCAACCTGTCACAGCAGAGATTCAGGCACTGTCACGGCAGGGATTCTATTCCCACCGCTGGAAATCGCGATATGCTATGTTATGCTGTGTTTCAGTTTCAAACGAAACAGGAAACACGTATCTGATAGAAGTCTGATTTTGCCTTGTGAAGTCTGGGTACTTCAGACTTGTGTTTTTGCGAAACCTGAAAAATCAGAGTAACCATTCTCTGGGAAATATGCCTCAGACTAAAAAATTTCAGAGCCCCCAGAACATCAGACTGGTTTCTTTTGAATAGTCAGCCCTGGTCGTCGGGTCAGGCTCTGGCAAAATGTCGAGAAATGTTGAGCAATGAAAAGCGTCAGGTGCCTTGTACGTAACAAAGGCTGAAATTTGTCGCAATTTGATGTGTTTTGATTGGGACTTGGCAGCTGACATGAGGTGGTTGGTAAAAGCAAGTGGCGCGAGCAAAACAGTTGCTCGCGCCACAGTCCTCTCGACCAAGCATCAGCAAGCGAAGCGCGTGTGGAGGAGAGAGCTGAGAGACAGCACAGTTGGTACAGTACCTACTGTAGTAGAACAAGCTGTCGCACGTGGTGCGCAGGCCCTCAGGTTCACTTTTAGGGACGTTGATGGATCAGGGTTCCTGTGAAAAAAAGCCTGAATTTTCAGGGTTCCTAAAAAAAAAAGCTTGAATTTTCAGGGTTCCGAAAAACTGGAGCCTGAGTTTCAATCACATCATGCATTTTTATAAGATACGAAACATGACAGCCAAGGGATTCTAACTGGGATCCCGTCCCGTATCAATTTCACTAACCACTGAGACAGCACATCTTGTCAACGGTCAGTGTCCAAAGCTTTTAACTAAAAACACAGTGGAAAAGTTGGTTGACTGAATCTTTCGGGTGTTTTACGGGAAGGACTCGGAATGTGCATTCAGTGTACACTTCGATAAAAGTCTCAAAAATCAGTGTTAGCTATGAAATAAAGGCTGAAAAAATCAGTGTCACAAAAATCTCAACACTGAAAAATCAGTGTAGGTACACAAAACTAGGCTGAAAATCAGGAATTTCAGGGAAAAAATCCTGATATTGTAGGGACTGGTGGTGCGCTGTACGTGTGCCGGTGGGAGCAGGAAAGATGGTCAAAACCGTAATCACTCGGACATACCACCCGCCGAAATTGAAGACCCCCCGGGTGGCTTGTGCGGGGTGGGTGCTATAGCGGACCTCGTTTCTACTATACCCCCCTTTTGGGGTGATTTTCTATAACACCCCCCTTTCTCACAAAGTTTCTAATTATAGCTGTTAGCGAGTACTGCAGAACAACGCGGAAATCACTTCCTCGATGTAACTACATGGTAATTTCGAAAAAATCTGCCGAAATCACCCCCCTCCCTCTTACACGTTGCTGCCACACTGGTAGATAGTTTGCTAACAAGTGGCCAAAAAGGTGCCACCTAGCAATTTCAAGGGGGGTGAAAAGGTTAAACCACATTCTCACTTCTAGCTATGATGTTAAACCAATTCTGAAAACACCCAAGTTGTCTTTTCATCAAAATCCTTACACTAAAAAATGCCATATAAAAAGACCCGGGTGTTATGTAGCTTTTTCCTATAAGAAGACCCCCCCCCCCCCCCCCCTTTTTCTGCTGTAGTTATCATAGCACCCTAGGGTGGTATGTCCGGGTGATTATGTTGAGAAACGTAGGCAAGAATGGTTGGACTAGGAAGCAATGGGATACAAATATGGAAACTCTAGAAGGGTTGTACCCCTTAGTGGCTACCCCACTATAGCCTACACAATATGCACAGCATATAGTTTAACACACCCCCATAGGCAGAGTGGGGGAGAACTAGTGGTCACAAGACCAGTCAAGAAAGGCAAAGCAAGCTCAGGGTGGATCACGAAGTCACCACACATTCTGAGCACAAGCACAAAGGCCACATGGCCAGTTCACCTGTATAGTTATATAAGAGAGAGCAAACAGTACAGTGATCACCAGACCTCTCGTTATCAGGGTAAAATACCCTTTTTGCACTGACTGGCGGCCGCTTTTTTTCAGTTACCCTTTCACGGGCAGTGTAGTGGATTTTTTACCCTAGGCCAGAAAGTGTAAGTTTTTTTGTACCCTTTGAAAAACAGCGTAAGGAACATATTTCTCTGACTGTACAGTGTACAAGCCCAGTTACACTGATCCGAATGCTCCGTAGTGAGGCGAAACCCTATTCGGGCCCCTGCAAAGTACTCTCAACTGCGAAACTCAAACCCGCGACCATTCAGATCTAACTTGTAACTGAACCAACTGAGCCACTAAGTGTTATACTTGATTGCTTTGGCATTATTGATATAAGTGTTTTCCAAAAATTACCCTGGCAAAACAGACTTACATTCTTTTTACCCTACATTTTTCACGGAAAAAAAAAATACTCTACGCATCAGGGTTGACTATACATAGAACCCTGATTACTAAGGGTGGCCCAAAACAAATCTGAAGCCCTGGTGATCACTGCCTAACAAGTGTAAGCATGCAGGTATATATAATTATCACAGTACAGGCAAAGTCAAGCAGTGAGCAAGTGAGAGAAAGTGGACACGAGCCCTAAACTAGTGCAGTGATGCTGATGATCACTAGGCGGAAGTGCCTTGGTGAATATATCAGCAGTGTTGGCCCGCGTGTCCACGTAAGCAAGGCGAAGCTGGCCGCGCTGCTGTAGCTCTCGAGCAAGGAAGTAACGTAGAGCGATGTGCTTCGTTCTGTGCTCTAGTCTTTGCGCCTGACACAAGGCAATAGCGGCCTTGTTGTCGACGTACAGAACTGGAGGAACACGAGGCCGCTCTCCCAAGTCGGTCAGCAGGTAGGTGAGCCAGCGTAACTCCTGTGCAACCATGGCTGTGGCGTAGATCTTTCTCACAACTGGAGTCAAGGCTAAAGGTGTACGCCTGTGACGACCGCTGTGTAGCCAGGTCGTCGACCCAAGACGCGTCTGAGTGTCCAGTGAGGACAACGTCACCCCGTCCTCCAAGCACCAGCCCCATGCCTGATGTACTGCACAAATAGCGTAACACTCTCTTAGCAGCCTCCCAGTGCTCTCGCCGGTGTCTCCCAGGTGCAACGTAGCGAGCCAGGATGCTAAGAGGGTACGCAAGGTTAGGTCGAGTGCAGGTCATCAGGTACATGAGGCAGCCCACAAGCTCTGGATACGGGCCACTCGGCTCTACGGACTCATCCGAAGGCAGAGCTGAGAGCGAGTGACTCGTAGGCAGAGGAGTGGACTGTGGTGAGGAGAACTGGAAGCCGAAGCGCTGAAGGACCTGCTGCACCATGTGTGACTGAGTCAGGGTGATGGTGCGGCGTGCTTTGTCCCGGGTGATCTGCAAGCCAAGGTAGCTTCGCAGCTCACCCAGGTCAGTGCAGGTGTGTCTCTTCTGCAGCTCTGACTTCACAAGGGCAAGTGCCTCAGTGTCAGCAGTGGCAAAGACCAGGTCGTCGACGTACACGAGGATGTAGAATGGCGGCAGTGAAGTGTCAGTGCGCAGAAACAACGACGGGTCAGCAGTGGAAGGAGCAAACCCAAGGGAGAGCAGCAAGCGTAGTCCTCAGTGTGTTGTGCCACTCACGAGGCGCCTGGCGGAGACCGTAGACTGGCCGCCGGAGGCTCCACTGGGTACCTGCAGGAAACGACTAAGTGTAGCCAGGTGGGCGGCGCAGCTAGATCTCCTCGTGCAGGCTGCCCTGCAAGAAAGCTGTGCTGAAGTCAAGAGAGTGAAGCTCGTAGTCACGCTGAGCGGCAACGTGCAGCAGCACCCGAAGAGTGGTCATCTTCGAGGTAGGGGAGAAGGTCTGGAAGAAGTCAACTCCCTGTCGCTGACTGAAGCCTCGAGCAACGTAACGAGCCTTGAAGACAGGCGGAGAACCCGGCGGCCACTTCACCCTGAAAATCCACATGCCATCGACTATGTTCACCCCAGGAGGGGGAACCTCGTCGACGTAGGTGCCTGTGGACTTCCAGGATGCCATCTCTGCGTCCATGGCTGTCTGCTACTGAGAGGAGTAGGGACCCGTAATCGCCTCTACGTAAGAGCGCGGGGTCAGGATGTCCAGTGCATCCGGGTCTCCCTCAGGTGCAAGCAGCCAGGCCGTGAGATGAGGTACAGCAGCCGCAAGACACTCAAAGTCCTCCTACCTGTCCTCAAGGACGTCCGTGCCAAGAGCACACTCACCCCCGACGGACGGAGGACAGACAGACTTAGACTCAGCAACAAGACTGGCAGCGTAGTCTAGACGACACGCAGCAGCAAAGTCAACAAGCTCAGAGACTAAGGCAGACGCAGCAGCAGACTCAAAGGACGGGTCAATGACGAGTGTAGCCAGAAAACGCGTGACAGTAGGGTGAGCAGCACGAACAACATCAGACTCAGGGTCCGGAACGTCAGGAAGAGAGGACGCAGGAGGAGACAGCAGTGGGACGCGCTGGGGAGCAGAGGAGGGACGAAGTGCCATAGTGTGAGTACCTGGCACAGGAGGAGGACGCGGACGCGTTACGCGACGAATACGGGTAACAGTGCGAGCAGGAGAGACAGGACGAGACGCAGGCTCATGACGTTGTGTCAGGGACTCTGGCTGCTCTGTGTAAGGAAGGGGGGTAGGCTGCACAAAATCGGTTGCTGCTGCACAGAACCTCCAGCTCTAGTGCCTCTAGCTCCAGCGTCTCCAACTCCAGCGCCTCCAGTGACAGTGCCTCCAGCTCCAGCGCCTCCAGCTCCAGCGCCTCCAGCGTCAGTGCCTCCAGCTCCTGCGCCTCAAGCTCCTGCGCCTCAAGCTCCTGCGTTTCCAGCTCCTGCGCCTCCAGCGCCAGTGCCTGCAGCTCCAGCGTCTCCAGCTCCAGCGCCTCCAGCGCCAGCGCCTCCAGCTCCAGTGCCTCCAGCTCCAGTAGCGCTGCGCTGGAGGAGAGTGCGCTGAGCTAGCCACTCGCGCAGCTGCTGTGGTGAGAGGGGCTCACGCTGGGGAGACCGCTGAAGTGAGGCACCCGGAAGACCACCAGTAGACCCAGCTCCACCAGGCTCAGCACCCCCAGGCTCAGCACCATTAGGCTCAGCACCCCCAGGCGCAGCACACCCAGAAGCAGCACCCCCTGGCTCAGCACCCCCAGGCTCAGCACCCCCAGACCCAGTACCCCCTGAAGCAACACCCCCAGGCTCAGCACCCCCAGAAGCAGCACCCCCAGGCTCAGCACCCCCAGGCTCAGCACCCCCAGAAGCAGCACCCCCAGGCTCAGCACCCCGAGCAGCACCACCCCCAGCAGCACCTGAGTCACCAGTGACCTCGACAGGCTCAGCTAAGGGAAGTGGGTCTACCTGAGAGACACCTGAAGGAGCAGGACCCTGAGGGGGGAAGGGGCCTACCAGAGGGGGACATGGAGCGAGGAAGAGCGGCGGGGGGGTGCGAGGAGAGGGGCAGAGCGGTAGGGGAAGAGACGGTAAAAGGGTACCGACTCGTCAAAAGTGACGTCCTGAGAGGACAGAACACGGCGCGAGGTGGGGTGGTAAAACTGCCAGCCAGGCGCATCAGGGGGAAAGCCAAGGAAGACGCAGGGAATGGCGCGAGAGGAGAGCTTTCCCGCGATGGAATCGCGGACAAAGGCACGGGAACCCCAGACCCGGAATGCGGACTCATCGCCAACCTTCCCCGTCCAACGAAGTGTAGGCGAGGTCTCTGGCAAGGAGACACGGGGCCAGAGGTTGAGTTGATGCCCCACGTACCGGACTGCAAACGACCACAGAAAATGGGGAGCAGCCGCATGGATCATGGAGGTACGAGCGACCTCCATGACTAAGCCAATGTGGCGCTCAGCAACATCATTTTTCTACGAGGAGGCCGGAAGGGTGAACGACTGGTAAAAGCCCTCCTTCTCACAGAAGGACCGCAAGAGGTCGGAGGAGAACTCACCACCCCTGTCAGAGTGCAGACGCAGGACAGAAAGTTCCGTGAGGAACCGCTCGCGCAGCTGGACATGGACGGCTCGGATCCAAGGGATCAAAACAGCAGGGACCTCACCCTTGCTGCGCAAGGGGAAGACCGTGGTGTAACGCGAGTAGTCGTCGACAACCAGCAGAAAGTATCGCTCGCGGCCCTGTCCCTGGACGCGGGCTGGGCCCCACACGTCCATGTGGAGAGTCTGCAGAGGGGCTGTTGTCGGGGGAAACGAGGAGGAGTGAGGAGCGGCGCGCTGCCGCCCCTCGACGCAAGGAATGCAGGGCGGGGCAGGCGAGGGTGGGAGGGAAGGTAGAGACCTGGGAAGACCAGAGACCAGAAGGCGAGAGTGCATGCCACGAAGGCGTGGCAGGGAGGGGTGACCAAGGCGGTGGTGCCACAGGAGAGTCTGGTGCGACAGGCGGCGACACTCACAGGGGGCTGCTACCGGACTTGACGCGGACACTTGAGCAGACGCAGCGACCTGAGGCGGCGCAGTAGTCAGTGTGTACAGACTCGACCCCGGCCGACGAGTGAACGTGGCCAGGTGACGGCCAGTCCGAGAGCACGTACAGATCGCCACACGCTGTCATCTAGGTGTAAAGGTATCAACCCCTGCATCCTGGAGGACTGCGTTGCTCACCAAGTTCGTCGAGAACGAGGGGAGGTGGAGACCGGACAGGGAACCGGACAGAACGGCCGGGCATGGGAGCACAGTACAAGAACGTGAAAGAACTGGGCCCTAGAGGGGTCAGCTAGGGAATCTGCAACAGGTCTGGTGAGTGGTGTGACTGTGGTACTGTCGCGAAAGAAGCAGCAAGAAGCACCTGAGTCAAGCGTGAAGGTGTGCGAGGCCTCAGCAGGCGCAGTACTAGAGAGAGCAGACTCACTAGCACCTAGAGCAGCAGCCTCTATACCAGGGTCATACGGCGCACACAAGTGACAATCACCCTCGACACTAGTAGTCAGAGCATACATTCCAGCAATGATAGCATCAAAGTCAAGAGCAAAGATATCAACACCAGTCTTAAGTAGCTCTGCCCAGCGGGGCAGCTCATACTCGTCGCCCATCTCCTGACGCTAAGCGTCGTCTAGGCGGGAGAAACAGCGGTGCTGGGTGTGAAACTTCCCGCACGTCTGACCAGCGCGGGGACCTGTGCGAATAACGTACGAGCAGCGACCACTACCACCACCCCTAGACGCGGCACGCTGAGCAAGCCACTCACGAAGCTGCTGGGGCGAGAGGGTCTCACGCGGACGCTGCTGCTGCTGCCGCTGAACTGCGCCAGAGCGATCACCACCGCCACTGCTGCCACCACTCCCGCCGCTGCCACTCCCCCCACCACTACTCCCACTGCCACCACGACCACTGCCACCACCACCCCTGCCGCCGCCGCCACCTCCGCCGCCGACGCCCCCACTCGCTCCACCACTCCCACCGCCACCTCCACCACCTCCGCCGCCCCAACCACCTCCACCACCAACCCCCCCGCCGCCACCCCCACCACCCTTGCCTCCCTTGCCCTTGCCGCTGCGGCGCTTCCCACTAGGAGCAGAAGCAGCACTGACCTCGTGAGCACCAAGGAAGTCGACAGCAGCGGCAGAGGCAACAGAGGGGGCGAGGGGGGAGGGGGAGCACCCCTCAAAGAAGGGCGTGCGAGGGGTGCGACGGGTGGCACCTACAGCGACTATGTTAGCCTCAGCTGCAAGAAGGTGCTTCCCTAGCAGGTCGATAGTGAGGTCTGTGGGGGGGAGAGCGAGAAGGGTGTCCCGGACTGCACTAAGAGAGTCAGGGAGGCGGGTCACTATAAAGTGGAGAGTGATATAGATCGGGGGCTCGTTCTTGGGCAGAAACTCGGCAGGGAGGGCAGCACGGTAACGAGCGTCCATAGCGCGAAGGTAGGGCAGGTCAGGGAAAAGGTAGGGCAGGAAGAGGCGGCTAAGCGCTGCAGTGGCAGGGGAAGAATTGCGGGCAAGTACATCGTCGTACAGGGCCTTAGCAGTTTTCGCCTGGTCAAAATGCTCGCATTCAGCTACCGGCAGGTGGTTGCGAATGGCTAGGCGAGCAGCAGCATCACGGGAATGCCACTGCGAGCGAGTCGTCATGTCAGCTGAGGCTGGTGGGGAAGTGGAGGCACCAGTCGCTAGGTCATAGAGCGAAACACCGTCCCTAGCGTCGCTCAGTAGGTACAGCTGCAGGTCCTGGAGCCAGGTGTCGAATTTGACTGGGCGGCCGTGAGGATCGAATGCAAGAATACGCAGAGTGGCCATAGTTTAGCAGCTCAGGAGCAGGGCAAGACAGAGGCAGCGCAGGGGCTGCAGAGGTTGCAAGCAGGCAGCAAGGGCGGCGCGCGAGGCTGCAATGGCAGGGTGCAGGCTGCAAGGGCGTTGCGCGGGGCTGCAAGGGCGGCGCACGGGGCAGAGCAGAGGCAGCGGGAGGGCTGCTGGGGCAGGGCGCGGGCTGCAAGGGGCTGCGCGCGGGGTGGGGCAGAGGCAGCGCGAGGGCTGCTGGGGCAGGGCGCGGGCTGCAAGGGGCTGCGTGCGGGGTAGGGCAGAGGCAACGCGAGGGCTGCTGGGGCCGGGCGCGGGCTGCAAGGGCGGCGCGGGGGGCAGGGAAAGGCAGCGCGACGTCTGCAGGGGCTCGCGCGGGGCCGCAGACTGCAGCGCGCGGGCTGCAGGGGCAGCGCGCGGGGCTGCACACGGCAGCGCGCGGGCTGCTGGGGCTGCGCGAGGGCGGCGAGGGCGGCGCGCAGGCTGCTGACCCGTTGCGCGGGGCTGCAATGGGCTGCGCGTGGGCGGCGAAGGCGGCGCGCGGGCTGCGAATAGGCGACGCGCGGGCAGCAGGGGCGGCGCGCGGGATTGCAGGGGCGGAGCGCGGGACTGCAGGGGCGGCGCGTGTGGGTGGTACAGGGCAGGGTAGGGCGTGGGGTAGCGCGGTATCTGGTGGGCCCTAAGAAAAATCGGTCCTACGGACCTACTGCTCTGATAGCATGTTGAGAAACGTAGGCAAGAATGGTTGGACTAGGAAGCAATGGGATACAAATATGGAAACCCTAGAAGGGTTGTACCCCTTAGTGGCTATCCTACTATAGCCTACACAATATGCATAGCATATAGTTTAACAGATTACGGTACCTTTGCTTGCTGCCCCTATAGGCACAAAAACAATACAATTATTGCGAGAAATTCTCTTTTACACAGTTCTTTTCGCATGCACTGATTTGTATATTTTTCCAGCTTGACCGATCATCAAAGCTCAACCAAATTTCACGTTTCAACGACTATTGAGAGCTCGATAATAATTCAACATGCGTTACGACGGCGACTATTGAGTGTATTCGGGTGAACTACCTTGTCCAATGTGCTCATGTGTTGGCATTGTACCGCCACCATTTCGAATGTAGGTGTATCTGGACGAAATTTCCCGGAAACTTCTTCCCAATCATGTTGCACACAGGGACCACATAAGCAATACTCTGTAGTGTCAGGCTTCGCAATCGGTCTGAAGCACATTACAGGTAATCATGGGCCATAGAACAAAACTCTGACTCAGTCAGGGTCTAGAAATCAAGTAATCTGAATGTTTCAAGTCGAGGGACGATCACTTTCCGGGTCAATTCTGCTTCGTGTCAACGCAAGCACAGGCTGGTCTAGAGAAAGGTGACGGATTTGAGGAGCTTGCTGCTGTGGGGAGGGTGACCTTACACTCCCTGGACTATTCGGTGATCGATAGCGGCTCTACCTATAGCATGACACCTCGCGCGGACTTGCTCACCGAACTCGAACCGTCACCGGTGAAGCATGTCACATCGGCTTTGGGGGAGTGAGCAGAGGTGAAAGGCATGGGCAAGGCCATGTTCAAGGGTGGGGATGGGAAGATGGTGGGCCTCAAGAACGTGCTTTGGGTGCCCAACCTTGCTGCGAACCTGATTTCCGTGCGGCGGTTGCAAAAGGCCGGCATGGACACGAGCTCGAAGGGAGCCAAGACCTACACCGCAAGGATTGGCGAGCGGATTCTATGGGACCTTCGTGAGGATAGGGGTGTCTACAATGAGTAATGGCAGATCCCTGTGGTCCCTATGCCTAAGGAGAGGCAAGTGGCAGCAAGCGTCAGCACCAAGGGTGAAGCGGTTGGTAGCGGCTATGGCGCGAACGATGGCGCCAAGGAGACCAAGTTCAAGAAGAGCAATATTGGAGGGACCAGCAAGCTCGGTGATCACAACGAGAGTGGTGCAGCAGCTAAGAAGCAGCACAAGGGTGAGGAGAACCCCGAGACAGCAGTGGAGGAGGACAACGGAAAGAGCATGTGAAGCACTATTGCGAGTGCGGCGTTCTCCAATCCGACTTCGGCTACGGGGGAGTGTGATTGGTTGACTTTGCATCGGCGCATGGGGCATGTGGCATTGCCCGTCTTACAGCAGCTAGTAAAGGGAGAGATGGTTGCCGGCATACGTGTGAAGGGGGAGCCCAATGAGGTGCTTGGCTGCCCGACATGCATGCAAGCCAAGTTCACCCGTTTCCCGTTCTCTAGTTCGGAGGCAACGGCTAAGGCACCACTTGATGAGGTGGTGATGGACGTGGTGGACCTCTTGAAGCTTGGAGCTGCTGGAGCTGAATACTTCCTCACCATTGTGGATGCCTACACCCGCATCACTTGGATGTATGTGCTGACCAAGAAGAGCGACGTGGCTGAAACGGTGAAGACCGATTGGTTGCCGATGGTGGAGCGGCAACAAGACCGTCTTGTGAAATCGTGGGGGAGAGTTCCTAAGCAAGGACGTCTCATTGTGGCTGAAAAGAATGACATAAGACATTCCCTTACTATGCCATACTCTCCTGCAATGAACGGCATCGCCGAGCGAGCGAACTGGACTGTCACGGAAACGGCACGCGGGTTGCTCATTGAAGCCGGGCTACCCGACTACTTTTGGCCTGATGCTGTGTGGAGTGTGTGTGTGGCCAAGAACAGAGCTTTGAATCCTGTGGGAGCAGACAAATGGGTGCCCTATGTGGAGTGGATTGGAAGGAAGCCAAAGGTGGATATGCTTTGGGTGTTCGGGTGCATGTATATGGCGCTCGTGCCTAAGCATCTTCGGCACAACAAGCTTGGTGCCAAGGCGATATGGGCCGTGCATTTAGGCATGGCTCAAAACAGCAAGGGATGGCTTCTTTGGGACCCATTCACCAAGAAATTCTTGGAAAGCAGGGACTGCAAGTTCATGGAGAACCTGACGAATAAGGATTGGAAGGCGGAAAATGAGGCGAAGATAGGCGTGCGGTTTTAGGAGGTGAAGAGTTCCGGCTTGGAGCATGTGGAGCTTGCGGAGATAACTACTGCAACGGGAGCTAGACTACGGGCTAGGCACGGGTGCTCGTGTGATCTCTGCGTTCGTTGGTCCTTAGTCGTTTTCCTAGTGCACACACAGCTTGCTAGTTCACAGGGAGAATTGGCAAGAGTTTCACTAGAGAAAGTTGACAACAATGGTACAATGAAGTTGGCAAGACTAGACTACATCAGAGCTAGCACTCAGGTCTGCCAGCGCAGCATGGTCGACCGCGTTCCAGCACGACTTGGTCGACCGCGCTCTAGCAGTGCAAAGCCGACGGCGTGCCAACGTCGCAGGTTGACGGCGTGCCAACGCTGCTCCCGCAGGACAGCAGCGCACCCGCTTCGCAGGTGCTCGCAGATGATTGGCGGGCTGAGCCTCATCACCTGCACAACACACACACCAAGTCAACCTGGCGCTGACAACTGCATCTGATCAGCCACGTCGACCTCGGGATACCACCACCGAGGTCGGACTCGCCAACTTCGCCTGGGCGACCGTCGCACTCCTCCGCAGAACCTCGTCACCCAGGTAACCTGGTCGACCTCCCAAGTCGACGGCCACCTCCAGTCGACCTCACCAGGTCGACCACGCCCTCTGGTCGACCAACTCCAGGTCGGCTACCCGAAGTCGGCGTCACCAAGTTGACGCCCTGCTACTCGACGCCCAACTGCTCGGCGTCCTGAGTCGAGGTCGACGTCGGCCCCTCCTTCGTCGACCACCAGGTCAAGTCGACCACCAGCAGGTCGATCAGCAGGCCTGGTCGACCAACCACCAGGTCGACCAGTAGTCCGTCAGCCGACCACCAAAGTCGGCTTCCCCAAGTTGACGTCACCAAGTTGACGTCCCCCGCAGGTCGACTTCCCAAGTCGACCTCCCTGAAGTCGGCGCCACCCTGAAGTCGGCGCCCGTACAGTGGTCTCCGTGCATGTCGACCTCCTCGTCAACCAGCTCGCCCACTGCTGCAGGTCGGCTGCTCCCCTCACACCCGACCACGAAGTCGGCTCCGCCCAAGCGAGGACGGGGCCAACACACAACTCCCGTTGACACTCCCCTGCCGCGTTCACGCTTGGGCCCCCAGCCCACACGGCAGTACTCCTTGGAGTATAGCTCGCCGACGTGCACCCAACTAACAGCACGTCGTCCACTGCACCAGCCATGCAAGAGGGCATGGCACCTACTGCTGCACTTCGTCAACTTCGTCGCCCACGTCGGCCAAGCGCACCTGGCCGATGGCGACGGAGCACCGGTTGAAGGCCGGATAGTGCAGCGCCTTCGTCAGGAAGTCGGCCGGCTGCTCAGTGGTCGGGATGTACCTCAGCGAGAACTTCCCGCGCTTCACCATGTGCTGCAGCCAGGCCTGTCGCCACTCCATGCGCCTGAGGTTGCCCGTCAACCCCATGCCCTCGGCGACCGTGATGGCCGACTTGTTGTCCACTCACAAGACAGTCGGCTTCCCAGCATCCAGCTGCTGTGAAGTCGGCGTCCCTCCTTGCCCGCTTCGGTGGCCGCCACGTACTCCGACTCGGTCGACGACAACGTCGCGCACTTGATGCGCTGGCT